TGCCTATGTTTATCTCCTCCTCCTTCACGGAAAGCTCAGAGTGGTTTGCATGACACTCCTGGTGATCTGCTGTCAGTGACAGTGTTCAGGCATCAATCATAGCAACCCTTGCATAACCAGTGTTGTGGCCACCACAGCAGGTGTTTCAAGATCGTTTACTGGCCCTCAAGGGATCAAATTAATTATCTGAAAATTGCAACCTATATCCACATTTTTAGTGGAATTTATTTCTTCATGTATTCTGTGCCTGTTAGTGACATATTTATCAGTGAAATTGACTTTCCAGAAAATGTGTTTAAGACTAAAGTGTAAATGAATGGAGAACTCAGTTATAAATTGGGTGCTCATTATTGCTGGGTCCTATTTCTTGGATTAAACCTTAAAACAGGGCAGTTCTTACAGCTCAAAATCAAGTCTCTGAAGAACATTTTCCTGATAGAACTGCCTTGTTCTCCAGTCAGTCCACAACAGTAAGTACAAATTACTTGGCTGCGAGAATGGAATCATTACGGCTCCCTGGGAACAGAAATCAGTGGGGTTGCTAAAGGTGTGTGTGCGGGGGGTGGGGGTGGCTCGTTTGAGATTTTTTTCTTATAATAATGCTGCATTCATGGGATTAACTTCCACCTGAGTTGATTTAAACAATGATCCCTTCAGTAGCTGATACAGAGTGAATGGAAAACAGTGAATTGTCTTGTACTTGTATTTCAAAACCTTCATTACTTGAAATGGTTTTTCAGCTATTTGATACAATAAAATCTGTTTTCCCATTGAAGCTGTGCATTTTTTATTGTGATACTATAAAAGCCAATTGGCTGCATTCTGCTCAATTCACTTCTGTCTCATCTAGATTTCTTGATGAAACAAATTCAATAATGCTATTTAAGGGATGCACTTAGAAGGGTGTAATTCAGGATTGTGGAAGAGGCTCCCTGAGGAGGATAGAGTAGAGAAGGAGAAGAGAAGAGATTGGATTTATACCCGCCCTTCACTACCCAAAGGTGTCTCAGAGTGGTTTACAAACTCCTTTCCCTTCCCCTCCCCACAACAGACACCCTGTGAGGTAGGTGGGGCTGAGAGAGCTCTTGACAGAAACTGCTCTTTTTCTAGAACAGCTCTTGTCAGAACTACGGCTTGCCCAAGGTCATCCAACCAGGTGCAAGTGGAGGAGTGGGGAATCAAACCCGGTTCTCCCAGATTAGAGTCAGCGCACTTAACCACTACACCAAATTGGCTCCACCAAAAATTGCTAAGGGTGCCATCCTTAGCAATTTTTGGGAAGTGCTGAAAGACCAGGGCTTTTAATGGTGTGTGTGTGTGAGTGTGTGTGTAAAGTGCTGTCAAGTTGCAGCCAACGTATGATGACCCCAAAGGGATTTCAAGGCAAGTAATGAAACAGAGGTGGTTTGCCATTGCCGTCCTCTGCAGTCTTCCTTGGTGGTTTCCCATCCAAGTACCGACCCAGCTTAGCTTCTGAGAGCTGACAAGCTCAGGCTATCCTGTACTGTTCCACATCCCTAAATAGGGTACAAAATGCAGGAATCTTTCGAGGTGAAGGGGTGATTCAGAATTTTCTTTTGCATGTTTAAATTGTGATGTTCTTAATTATGATTTGTTAGATGCTTTGAAGCCCTGAGGAAAGGCAGAAAATAAATATTTTAATAAATAAAAACTTTAAAATGTCTGAGGAGAACATTGGGAGACGTGGTGGTTTTGCTACCAAATACCCAGACTATGAACAAAACAACAACAACAAAAGAATTATTCTTAAGTGTTTTTTTTTTAAGGCTTTCCCTATTAAATACTTTTAATATTTAGAAGAAGCGTGATTACGGTTAAACATTTTTAAAATCCAGCTAAAGTGTTTATGCCTTGCTGGTACCAATACAGCATCTGTTTCTACGTTCTCTTTCATTTAAGGGTACAGAGGAAAGAAGGTGAGGTGAAGTCTCTGTACAAAAACAGCCAATGAAGTGGTAGAACTGATAATACCTGCAAAAGTCCAAACAAGGACTTGAGATATCTCATCCATTAGAGGTGTTCACCAGTATAATAAATTTCAAGCACTGCTATTGTGAATGGTCTCTGTTATGGTTTGAATCCAGACTAAACTGGCACAATGTCCACCGATTTACCCTTCCTGCTTCAGACCCCTCTCATATAATTCCTCAGGGTCCCTTATCCCCCAGGGGCAGCATATAGTGGATATCCGTGGGTTGCAGTGGGAGTGGGAAGGCAGGAAAGTTCCGTTCCACGATGGAAAATTTAGTCTGGATCCAACCCAAAATTTAGACTTCACATAATTATATCTCACCCTGTATTTCCTACATTTCATGTTCCTTTGACCCTGATGTTTACAACTTTTTTTTTTGAAAGTCAATTAAATCTCCAACAGTCAATCAAAAGCCTCGCTCGGCCCTACCTGCCCCCCCCCTTTCTAAAAACACTCGGTGCCAGGAAAGGTGTTGGTGGGCACCATTGCACCCATGGCCACCATATTGGGGACCCCTGGGCTAAAGAAATGAAAACAAGTCCTTGGTAAGTGGCCGTTTTAATAACTGGGCCTGCAAACCAGTGGGACCCTTGTTTATGTTTTGCAGGATATTTTGATTCTGTTACAGAAAATGGAAAGTGATAGAGGGAAGGTGATTTGCCCTTCTGTCAGGAACTTTAAAAACTACATTTATGTTATCTCTTGCTTTCTTCCATGTCTCAAAAAGGCACCTATACTGGCAGTTTGGTGATAGACAAATAAATTTAAATTGCTTAACTGGTTTAAGAGGCATGTGATGAATCAACTAAAATGGATTTGCATCTGAGGCCCAAATCACATGTGCAATGTAAACAGTAGGAAGGTTGAAATGCAATTATAGATTAACCTCCCTGCAAGGCCATCAATAGGTTTAGAAACCCACACCAAAGTCCTTTTCTGGTTTTCAGATGTGCACAGTGCCACCGGAAGGGCTGAAAAGCAGTTTTTAAATCGCAAGTGTGAATTCAGCCTTAAGTCTTTCTCAGAAAATACATTGATTCTCTCCTGTATGTCGAATGTGTTGTGATTATTTTCTTTTCTCGTAATGGCATAAAAAATGTAACTTCCCCTGAACATTATTTAGAAAAATTAATAAAACCACAACTTGATTACAGTGGCGTGCCACCAAGTTATAACCACAAGCAGCAGCACCATTAATTCAAATTAAAGGCCTTCACTTGATTGGTACAGGTACCCAAAGAAGTCATCACACAAGTCTTGAATCCTGCACACCTGTTTAAATTAGAGATGTCAATTAACCTGCATGCTTCTTCTTTGGGAATATGTAAGCCAGAATTTTTTGAAAGCACATGACTGACTGCATGCACATGATTACACACATGTCAGCGTTTGTCAGTCTGTCATGTCAGTGTTTGGGTTTGGTTTTTTAAAAAGAAAAACACACTTTGGTGTATCTCAGAGCATGTTTGTGGTGGCTAAACAGGAAAGAGATTTCAGGTCATGGTGGCTAGTTCAGTGAAAACATCTACTCAGTATGTGGTAGCAGTGAAAAAGGCAAAACTCACAGTACACCCTGTATCATAATTTGGTGTGAGGTGTGTTTTTGATTCTCAGAAAAGAAGCTGGGAAAAGTGAAAATAGAAAAAGTGGACAAACAAGCAACCAAAAGGACTACAGCATCTTCCTTATGAGAAAAGGCTGCAGGAGTCTGGGGGGAAAAGGGGTTTTTTTTTGGTTTAGTGTTAGGGGAAGTATAAATTTATAAAATTGTGATTGTTGTGAAACAAGTGGATGGAGAGACCTTGCACTCTCTTTTCCATAGTGCTAGAATGTATGGGCACCCAATAAAACCAGCAATTCAGAACAGGCAGAAAAAAGGACAGCACATAGCAGATAGCTTGTATATATGTGTATATACCACCAGTCATAAAACTCTCCCAGAAGCTATTTGAAGACTGATAGGATTGCTAACTCCCCCCTGTCCGCTGCTGATGGCAGGGCAGGTAGAGTTGCCAGACCCAGGTTGGGAAACTCCTGGAGATTTGGGGATGGAGCCTGGGGAGGACAGGGACCTCAGTGGGATACAATGCCATAGAGTCCACCCTCCAAAATGTCCATTTTCTCCAGGGAACTGATCTCTGTAGTCAGAAGTTGAGCTGTAATTCTAGAGGATGCCCAGGTCCTGCCTGGAGGCTGGCATCTCTACTTTTCCAAGCAGATGTAGGTCTGAGCTTTTCAGAAGGGCCTTTGGCTTGTCTTTAACACTCTGGCTTTGCAGCAACTTCTTTGAGTCTATTTTTAATTTATTTTTATTGTGTTGATTGTATGATGTAGTGATACTATTGTTGTCACTTGCCTTGAGGCCCAGTTTTGTGGGAGAAAGATTGCTCTATAAATGTTCAAAACAGAATAAATCTAAATACAGCAATAAAGCACTGAAACGCTCTAGTAACAAAAAAATCAATGTGTGGAATTTTCTTGCTGTTGCGAAATGTGTTGCCAAAGGCAGTGGTGCCCACTGGAGAATATAGTTGTAAAAGAGGATTAGCCAGGTTCATGGAGCAAAGGGCTATAAATGGTTATTAGTAATGACAACTAAATTGAACCACCTCTGCCTGCCAATTGATGAGAGGCAAATGGAGGGGGGGGGGGAGAATGGGAGCCACAGTTGGATGCTTGACTGGGGGGCGCTTGGTCTGATCCGTCATTGGTGGGCTCATGCATTTGGGGGGGGAGGGAGAGAGTTTGCATTTTCCCGAAGAGGGACTCGGCAGGCAGGGATCGATGCCCCTCTTCACCCCCTCCCTCCGTCTGAGGCGAGATCCCGAGTCCGGAGGAGTCCCGGGATGGGTCCCCAACGTGCGCCCGAGCCTGACAAACGACCCATTGAAAGGCTCTCTGGGAGCCTCGGCGCGGTTGCCACGACAACCCATGCTCTTTTGGTTTGCATCGAGCCATGTGACAGTGACTTTGACGTCAGGCGGGAGGCTGGCCCTGCGCTCGGCGTCTTCCGAGCCGAAGGCTAGTGTGAGAATCTGGCGGTGGATGCTGCTGGGCTGCTCTCTCTGCCGCCGCCGCCGCCGCCGCCGCCGCCGCCGCTTCCTCCTGGGCTTGCCGGAGCATGGAGTATTAAAGACGCGCGTCTTCTGCAGAGTGAGGTAAACTGCCCAAGAGTCCTCCGGGGCTGCCGCCCTGATTCCTCTTCCCCCGGCTGCTGCAGGCGGAGGGGTTGTGATGGTTTCACCCGCCGGCCCCGCGCGTGTTTGTTTTGGCGGCGCTGCAAGTTTCCCTCCAGGAGTAAAAGGCGCTCCAGGGCGCGACGAGGGAGCCAACGCCAGCCAGCCAGCCAGCCAGCCGCTCCCCCTGACGGGAGCCGCGCTCGTGTGCAGGCAGGCAGGCAGGCAGGCAGGCAGGGGCGACGGAGGAAAGGGTTGCCTGTGCGGGTTGAGGGAAGGGGGGGAAAGGCATGGGCGTGACGAGGGGCTGCAAGAGCCGCGTCCGCCGTCGGTGCTGCAGCCTCGTCGCTTCGGGCAGGGGCTGAGGCGCGTTTCCTAAACTGAGTCTGATAACTCTGATTCCGTCCAGTCCCGGGGGGTGGGGTGGGGGAGGGATGGCCTCTGTCAGTTTTCGCTCCCGCTGAGCTTCATCCCGGCCCTGAACGCTTCCTGAAGTGCCATTCGTCTCCAAGCGGTTTTTCTTCCTAGTGAGTGTGTTTGTTAGCTGGGACACACACACCCCACTGCTAAAGCGAGCTTTTTGGGGTGTGCGGAAATGGCTCTTCCGGACTTCAGTGGAATTTAAGTTCTGAGTAAGTGGTGGCGCAAGAAGCCACCAGCCGTTATGATTGCTAAGGGACAGTGAGGTGAGGGGGGGAGAGCCTGCGCTTGGATCTTTCCCCTGCCGCCTTCCTGCATCCAGTGCAGCTTCTCCTGCACATGGCAGGGGAGTGTGGTGAACGGGCTGCCTATTGGGAGCGGTGGAAAGGGTCAGGATCTGAACTGCACCGAGACAGCTGGGCTAAAAACACAGCGGGTTCTTCTTCTCTTTTCCCACTCCGCCCCCTTCCTCCAGTCCGCTGTTTTTCATTTCTTCTTATCCTGAGGAGGAAAAGAAAGTTGCAGTAGCTAAAAAAAGACCTCTGGCTTGAGCAGTATATTCCCAGGTGGAAAGGAAAAGGCTGCCGGACACCATGGTGGGGGTGGGGGAGAGAGAGGAGGGAAAGAACACACTGAAAAGAGATGGTTGTCATGCACAGAGAGTCAATGGTTATCAACAACTTAGATGCCCTCACCTTAGCTCTGTTTCCACACACTGTGTAGGGGTGGGTGCTGGCCTGCCTATATTGCTCTTCTCCATCTTCAGGACTGGGGGAATCAACTTTCAGTGGTACAATTCACCATATACATTCAGCCCAAAGTGTCAGGCTTTATTGTTAATTGTAACAGTCACAGCTCTTCCAAGGAAATGGCATACTGCTGGCATTTTTCGGGATCTGTATTGTGCATTTAAAACAGCAATCATTTTAAAACGTATCATTTAAACTGGCATGTGAAAGCAGTCTGGTTTTGTAACCTGACAACTCATTTCTGTGCCGGTTTACTTGAAAGTAAGTAACATTGACTCTCACGTAAGGGTGCATAGATTTGAAGCCTTGGCTTTGAAAAATTGTTGCAATCAGACTTTCTTTGTCTAAATCCGATGGGCTTGGTATGTGAGAAGGCATCTGCAGATCTGATGCCCTCTGGGGTGGGGTGGGAGAGAGAGCAATAAGGCGTCTTAGACCTGCAAGCTTGTGCTTAGACTTGGGCAAGTTACTGTATTAGTTCATGTTAACATGTGTGCAGAATTTCCAAACCTTTCTTGTATTTTGCTATCGAGTAAACATTCAGGTTGTGTTGTCCATCTTATTTGCTTAGGTAAAACGTATAGCAGTCTAACAGATTGCACAAGATGGGTAGCCATGTTACTCTGTAGCAGTAGAAAAGAGTAAGAGTCAAATAGCACCTTAAAGACTAACAAAATCTGTGGTACGGTGTGAGTTTTCGTGAGTCACTGCTCACTTCTTCAGATATCTCAAGAAGTGAACAGTGACTCATGAAAACTCATACCCTACGACAAATTTTGTTACCCTTAACAGATTGTAGCAGCTTTAAAAGACCAATACAGGCAATATAATGTTATTAGTCTATTGAAATTCTGTGTGAAATCCCTCTTGGTTGAAACAAGGCATTTGAAACACCCCACTGTGTATATTAATGAACCTTTAGGCTTGATGGTTGGACTGGGAACCCCATATGCCCCTGAACAGTAGAAAAGTATATATTGCATTCAAGCAAAGTATTTCCTTGGATACTTGCAGTGAATTGTGTTACAGCCTCTTAGTGTCTGGAAGCTACAAGAGTTGCAATTCAGAACCCATTATTTACTTCAGAATAGTCATGTTTACTGGCATCCACAACCCATTATTTACTCTGAAGAAGTCCTGTCATGAAGCAGTGGGTTGTGTGTTGCAACCCATATTGAGGTCACAGTGAGATGCAGACCGTCATTTCTTGGATCTGAGGTCAGATCTTGCAAACTCACCCAGCTGATCCTGGCCACATTGCAAATGCATCTAAGGTTCAGGCGAGGCGAAAGGGAGAGTTATTTAAATGTGTGTCTTTGTAGTTGGCCAATGTATGTCTTTAAGAGGGGGAAAGTAAGGAATTTCATGGAGAAAACAATATCCTTCAAATCCACAAAAAGAGGTATAGAGCAGAATACTGTTACCTATTACCCACCCCCTGAGACCAGAGTGATGCTTTTGTTTTGTGACCTGAGACCTTCACAATTTAGGCTGCTGCTGTTGCCGAACAGTTTAAGGTTTGGTGGTCAGGAGCGGGGAAGTTTTAGTTCTAAAGTCAAAATTAGCTTTTAGGGTCCAGAAATCCTTCTCAGTCTGGGCTATAAAACCTAATGGGTGTGTGTGTGCCAGTGGCTTTCTACAAAATAGTAGAATTATAGCCTTCTGGACATAGGAATGTGATGAAGTGATACTTCATTGAACCTGTTGCATTTCTGCCTGCTTTGCAGGAAAAAAAGCGACAACCCTCCTTAACACTTTATTGTGTGGCAAGGCTTACTTGCTCAAGCCATCTCTGGTTATCCTGTTAAGGGGAAATAAAAGTCCCATGGCACTTTAAAGATTAACAACATTTATTTCAGTATGACCTTTCGTGAATCACAGCTTACTTCCTTAGATACGCGAGGAAGTGAGCTGTGACTCATGAAAGCTCATATTGAAGTAAATGTTAGTCTTAGAGGTGCCACTGGACTTTTGTTTTATTTTTCCTATAACAGACCAGCATGGCTACCCATTTGCAATTATCTTACAGCTTCAGATTTGCAAGTGCTTATAGAATTGTTGCCACCCCCACCCCTGTTTCTGCATGCTGGGGACCCTGTGAGGATGCCATAGTATACATAATCTGCTTCTCATGTAGAGCTACCTGACTGTATAGTAAGTCTTTATGCCAGTGTGCCATCTGCTCTGGGTTGTTCACATGGAGATTTTGCAAGTAATCGAGCAGTCCAGAAGGATCATCTGCACTGAGCATCCATGTGAAGACTGCATCGCACAAAAGCATTTTTCAGTGGCAGCATTGTTACTACATATGAAGATCCTCTGGTCCTAATCTGCTCTAAAGTGTGTGACTTGAGAGTGTGGAGGCAGGAAACCTTGGATCTATGCGCCCTCTGTTTGTGGCACATACATGCATTTAATATGCCTGCTTTGCAGGAAAAAAAGCTTGGTACACATGTTTCATCCAGTTTCAGTGTGGTTGAGCCTGCCTGAATTTCTAGAGTTGAATTCCATGACAGTGAGATCTATAATAACATGCATGCATGTGTAAATAATTGTTAAGCCTGGTTTTGGTTTAGTGGCATATGTTGCGTGTGTGGTTTGATTTATGATGCTTTTAAGAGAGAAGTGACTTTTGGTGAAATGTAACCCACAAGGCATCATATTTGAAAATGATTTGAAAACAAGCTAGTTGGCTATAGATGGAGGTTGCAACTAGCCAGATGATATACAGCCTTCATTCACTTTTCTGAATCTTTTTGATGTAAGTCCCATTGAAATGGAGGTTGTGCAGCTGCAGTACTAGCTGGATACAACCCAAAGGCTGAGCTGTTAAGCTTGTCCTGGGAAGTCACACCGATAATTTTTTGCAGTTCCACCAGCACCAAGTGTGCTTAGAATTTCAGCCTAACTTATGCTAGTTACGGTGTTGGTTACTTTTTCCTATTGCTCCCATATGAACTAAGGAGTGTTAATAAAATAGTGATCCTGGCAGGCTTGGGACAATCCTGGGCATCTGATTATCCCCACAACTCATCTTGTATGCTGGTGCCTTGGAATCGGAAACATTCATTCTGCAGGAGACATTCAGTTTTGGCTCTCAGGACTCCAAAGAGCACAGCATCAGTAAAGACAACTGTCAACAGATATCAGTGCTAGCCAGGAGATACAAGTGCTGGCCATAATAGGAATCCTTGAGGTAGAAACATCAGTGCTGCAAGAGTCTCATATATCCTTAGTGACTTAATAGTGTCATCCTACAAAGAGCTACATCCATCTAAGTCAATTTACTTCAGTGGATGTAACAATGGATGTTACAAATGGCATAGGATTTGGACAGTACTGTTTAGCAGCTTGTGAAAGCAAGGGACGAGAGACATTCTTATCTTTAGTTAAGAGCCTGTTGGGGATCTGCACTTGTCTCCTTTTGTACATATATTCAGACTTCCAAATTAAATCAAACCCAATACTAACAGGCTCTTTCTTATTTCCCGGAGAATTACAGTTGTGTAGAGTGCTAATTGGCAACTGATTTGTAGAGGGTAGATTGTCTGGCCCTCATGGAAATCCCAAAGCCCCACTCCCAAATCCATGCCTCCAGTTTAAACAACAAAAGGTGGACCTTTGAAAACAACAATACTTAAATGGATTAAAATGGTGGATTCAGAAAAAGGACTACCCCTTCCAAACATGCTTGAAGCACGGGGATGGATGAAAATCTGTAGTGAAATTGGAGCTGGGGACATGTGGCAGGTAAGGAAAAAAGCAGAAATCTCTCTACAGCAGAAAAACCAATTTCTGCTATTCTAATATAGG